AATTATCGTCCCGGGGGCCGCGATTTTGAGACCCCTGGTCTAAATGCTGGCGGTTCGATCGTGGCGGGTAGTGGTGAGGGGAATAGTTATCAATATTATTAAATTTATATTACATTTCGCTACTCCGTCACTATGCTGTATAGAAGTAACGTTCTTTTGATGAGCTAGAGTATTATCAAATTTAAGATGTATTTATCCGGGTATATTATAAGAATCTAAACCGTTCTTGTGCGCAAAACCTGATGGCGGAGCGGCCATGTCACGGTATCGGAGGTGAGTTTATACGTCGTAATATTTCACTTCGATTTGTGCCGTACTCGCATATACGTAATGAATTTAGGGACATTTATCGGGAAGATTCCGCTTCGGCACGTGTGTGTAATGCTGGTATCTATTTGCATTAGATATGGAACCGATATTTGTAAGCAAGGATAATAATGAGTAATAAGCTAGTTTTAAAAATACGAATCTTTATGGTAGTATTCATGGTATTATTGCCGGTATGTCTCATCATTGTATCTTCAGCTATGCAGTAAAGGAAACGGCCTCTGTTTTCGTTCATCTGGCAGATGGTATGAAACACTTACCGAACTTTTAGCCTAATTTAAGAAGCAGTGTTCAGAGGGTACTATTTTATTTACTTTATACAACGGTGTTTTCAAAGAATACACTTATTTAAATCATGCTGGGTTATAAATGTAATGGCCAAGGAGAAAATGTCGAAATTTCTAGCGCACTTGTTCCTAAGCGCCTTGCCCGAAGCTCCGGCTCATTCGCGATCCCCAACATAAGAGAGATAGTGTGTATGTGTGTTTGTGCGTGTGTGTTTGTGTTTGTGTGTATGTTTGTGTATAAGACTGTGTGTTTACATTTACATGTATATACATATGCATATATATATATATATATATATATATATATATATATATATATATGTGTGTGTGTGTGTGTGTGTGTGTGCACACTTTATTTTGAAGTAATTTCTTCACATCATACTCCTAATACGAGTGCCGGCGAACGCCTAGCAACCAAACCAATAACTTCCCGCAAGGCTTCGCGACTCTCCGCTAAAGCCTCCGTGAGTCCTGTGAGAGACGCGGCGGAGACAGCGTTCAGCACGAAGAATAGAACACACGCCAATAAAGAAAGAAACAGACAGAAAATTAGAAAAACTCACGCGAAACGAGCCTGAGTTCCTCTGCGATCGTTTTGGCAGTTAACTTCACCGCGGGGAAAGCGTGTAGTTAACCTGAGCCTAACGAACTTCCGCTGCCTAAAACGGGAACGGAGGAAGAGAGGAGGAGAGAGGAAGAGGGTGAAGAGAGAGATAACAGGGGGAACGAGAAGAGAATGTGCGAGGGAAAGAGAGAGGGGGAGGGGGGAGAAGAGGGGGATAAGACCAGAAATGAACAATTAGTGAAGAATGTCGTAGAGCGGATGAGAAGGAGAGTGCGGTGAAGAGAGAACATGAGATCGGAAGAAAGGGGGATGAGTTTATGGCGTAGGAACCGGGATAAGAAGAAATGAACAGGAGAGAGAGAGAGAGAGAGAGAGAGAGAGAGAGAGAGAGAGAGAGAGAGAGAGAGAGAGAGAGAAGCAAGGGCGGACAGGGGAAGTACGAAATAAGAAAGAGTGTGATATAAAAATGAAAAAAAAAAGCAAGCGGCAATAAGGCTAAACAAATAATGAAACAAATAATGCGCTTCGTAAAATAACTTAAAATACCTCTCGCAGAACACAGACGCAAAATCCGTCCGCATTTTTGGGAAAAAGAACAAAACCGATGATGATATTATGACTAATAGTTCTAATGTACAGGAAATAAAGCCAATTATTTTATTTTAGTAAATGATCAATTTTCTTTACACTGCAGGAACAGCATTGGGCGACTTAATACGTTTTTCAGGATCGGAACACTTAACTATTCCGCTCGGAGCGCGTAGTCGACATTTTTCGCGCGCAAAATTCCAGTAAACTGTAGGGGTAATAGTGTGTTTCTACACACACGCACGCACGTACGTACGTACACACACACACACACACACACACACACACACACACACACACACACACACATATATCATTTGGTCGCTTAACTTGTGCATCACGATTACCCTACAAGTGTGCTGCATAATATTTCGTATTTCCATATTCTTTGTTTTTAAAAATACCGCATATTTAGGTGGAAACGCCGGGTAGATGTAGAAAGATAACCTAAGTGATTTAATGTAAAACTTGCCATTAATTAGATTATTTCGTTTTCATAGAGATTAACTTATAGTATTTTATACGTTTTCAGGCGAATATAATGAGTGTATAATTTGTATAACATTCGTATTTGTATAATATCGTAGTAGAATTTATATATATGTATCCATAAAAAAAATCTGTATGAAAGAAAATGTGTTTGTGTGTGCAAGTTTTATAAAATAGGCAATTCAATTCTAATTACAGACGATAGAATAAACGAATTCAACCAGGTGGCTGTACAGATAAGTGTGCTACATTCCTTTTAACAACTGCATTTACTTCAGTCGTAAATACAGAGTTTAGTCAATGCGCAATAAAACGTATTCAGTAACAGAGGATTGAGTGTTTTATTAGGGAAAGCGATCGCCATCCTTTCCTGTTTGTTTACGTTTTTTAATGAGCGAGTTGTCAGATTTTTTTTTTGTTTTGTTTTTGTTGAATAGAAGGAAATCATAGATGCTAGATTACTTTCGTTGTGATAAGAAAAAAAAAAAACGATTCAAAATATTAAGAATCCCAAATTGCTACTAATCAAACCATGTATTATATTAATGGACTAATGTTGTAACACATATTTATAGATAATATAACTAGCTTTTGCTCAGGGAAACAAATGACGAGAGAGAGCTGGACTAAACCTTTCTGACTGCATGGCTCATTGAAAACTGTTCTTTTCTAATTCCATGGAAATTAAATTCCATAAAGCCAGTATAGATATAATGTTAAACTATTGAAAAAAAAACTTATTAAAGATAGTAAAAATCCTAGATAGAGAATTCAACAGTTTTTTGCGAGATAAAGCGGAGAGAGAGAGAAAAAAAAAATTGCCACGGAAATTCTTAAAGTATATTGGTTGTGCTCCGTGAGGTATAATTTTTCAAACTGTATTGGTATGATATTAATCGAAAGAACATTATATGGAAATTGCAAAATAAATCAAAGACCGGGTAGCACATTCACTCCATCTTCTTAGGCAGCATGTTAAAGGTAAAATCCTTTAGGTTCATCAGTGAAATGTGTTTTAAAACGAATGAATATAAATTAACTATTTTGTTCGTCTCGATGTTCATATTTCGTTATACAGTCTCTTCCGCTTCCATCTCTCTTAATCTTTGTCTTTCAACTTGACTTTAGTTTTCGAGCTGACTACAGCAACTCGAAAACACTAAGCACATACTTTGCATTCTCCTGATAACGCGCACACACAGACACAAATACACGCACACGCACACGCACACGCGCGCGCACACACACACACACACACACACACACACACACACACACACACACACACACACACACACACACACATATATATATATACATATATATATATATATATATATATATATATATATATATATAAATATATATATATCTGTGTGCGCATGTGTGTATGGTTTCAATTATCTGAAATCAATTGCATTGACAACTGTAAGATATTGTGCCATTATCATTAATCTTTCAACGTTTTGCCAACGGAAAGCGAAGCCACACACATCTTGCTTTTAAATTTTGCTCGTCGAAATGGTTGCAACAAGCGCCGTGCATGTACTTGCAATTGCCGCATTGTATGTGAAAAAAACGATGGAGAGGAGCAACACGTGACCTATAAAATGGCGGGAAAACGCAACTATTCGGTGATTTAGTTATTCATTAATTTTACCGAAAAGTTGGACGTTATTTCCACCGCGCCTGACGTTGTTGTAAAACCATTATTTGTCGGCATCCGTCTCTCTCTCGCTCTCTCTCTTCCCTCCATCTTTTTCATCACTTCTCCTTTCCCTTTCCGTGTTCTCTCTTTAGTCTTCTCATTCCATTTTCTCTTCTCCCTCTTTCGTCGCCTCATCTTCGTCATCTTCTTCCCGTTCATCACCTCTCTTGATCTTCCCTCGTCCTCTCCCTTGTCAAATCTTTCTCACTTTTCTCTATCTCTGTCATCGCTTCTCCTATTTACTCCATCATTACCGTGCTCATTCCTCTCTCGGTCTATCTCTAGCCACCTCATTCATTTTTCTCCTTAATTTAGCATTCTCCATTCCCTCTTCCTGTCATTTCTCTACCTCTCTGTCTTTGCCACTCTCTCTCTCTCTCTCTCTTTCTCTCTTTCTCTCCCTACCCCCTCTCTAACCCTCTCTCTCTCTCTCCCCTCCTCCCCCCCTCTCTCATGCCTCATTCCTCATTTTTTCATTATTTTATTCCACAACCAGTATCATCATTATTTTCAACATTTTAACATTTTACTGTCATCATTACTATTATTATTATTATCTTCACTATTACTATTATCATTATCATTATATTATTATTACCACTACCATTATGATGATAATCATAACAATGATTATGATAAAAATAATGATTATTTTTGTCATTATTATCATCTTTTATCTTTATCATCAATATTGGCATCGTTATCATTATCATCTTTAATAATATAATTGTGATTATCAATATCGTTATAATAGTATCATTACTATCATCTTCACTGTCGTTATCAATCTCATCACTGCTATTATCATCATCATCATCATCATTACTATTATCACTATTATTGTTACTGTCATAATCGTTATTTCATTGATAACAGTAAGAATATTACTATTAATATTCCTTTATTGTTATTGCTATTATTGTTATTTAACAATATCTATTTCCAGTCTTGCACCAGTATCATATATATACTAATGAAATAAATTCACAGATTCCGATAAAGAATAATATAACTAATCATACAATCCTCCTTTCAG